GACCATCAGATTGCGAGTCGAGTGCCTTAACCACCTGGCCATGCCGGGCCATTCTTCTGATGACGAGACCAAGTAGAAACCCTATAATAACTGAGAGGATTTCTACTGGTCTCCTGGCATACAAAATATTTATCAATTACAATTACAGCAATATTTATCAATCTTATTAGGGAACCAAGATAGCTATAAATTCCTGATTTAGGCGTGGACGAGGAACCCTTTGACGATGCGAAAGAAAAAATAAATTGTTCATTGACATTGAAAATAAAGACAATATTTTATGGTGGCAGATTTACAGGAATGCCTCTGGTTTTGAATTTCAAAACATGTAAATATCAGAGGAAGAACAGCTTTTACGATCTACATTTTTCATATAGTCCGGTTTATACATAAAAGCCTACATATAAATTTTTTCTATAAAACCTAATAATAATAATAATTTGAGTCTAATCCTCGTAACCTATTGTCATATCCTTTAGGAATTTTTAAGTTTCTCAATTTAAAAACTGCAGCAGAATCTTAAAATCCAGATCATGTAACTGCAATCTTCCTCCTGAAGTTTAAATACAGATAAATTGATTAACTATAACTATTATGTTATATTTGCTTCTCTAAAAAAATGTCGAAAATGGCGCCACTAGGAAGGATATCAGAAAATGTATTATAGAACCATATTGAGTACAAGTTAAGCATGAACACTTATTGTTCCCTTCCATTAACGCACAAAGGTGCATGGACTGGCGAAGCAAGAGAGGTCTCAAGGTCTATTGTATTCAACTGTTTTCTATACAAGCCAACAAAAATCTTAATATATAAAACCAGATACAAGTTCTTCTTCCACTACTAGAAATTTAGAGAAAGGTCATAATGAAAAGATAAAGAGTATTCGCGAAGAAAGTTGTGACAGTCTAAAATAAGCACGCCGCTACAATCAGGGTTCAACAACAAAAACAATTTATTCAACAATGACGCTTACCAAAACACAGTTAATAAACAAGTGGCTAGCCAGGACTTCACACCAAAATTAATAAACAATATATCATAAATATTATTAATATCAAAATTATTGAATACAGAAAAAGAACCAGGAAAAAAAACCTAGTCCCCCCCAAAAAAAAGTACAGAAAATACAATTTTCCAAAAATACCTTTCAATATCAATATTTATCTCTCTCTCTTTTCGTGAAGCTCCTGGCAGGGTATTTATCCTTTTGTAACTATATTGTTAATATATCTTTACCGAGATAGAATTTTCAGATGTTTTTATGAAGGTGTTATATATGCACCTAACGTCCTTCTGAGCAGGATGTGGTCTTTTTTTCTTACACTAATCTCTGCTTACACTTTTTTTTATTTTTGAGAGATCGATTTATGATAAATATTTAAGTGCGAGATTTATGTGTGTAATTAGCTTACTAAACTAAGTAAGTATATTCCCTTTACGTTAAAAAGGGGTTTTATATACCATATTTATTCTCTTTTGTTTTGTTTTTTGTTAAGCACAAAGCTGCACAACGGCTATCTGAGTTGTGCTAACGTGGGGATAGAACTCCAATTGTTAGCGTTATAGACCCTTAGGATTACCGTTGAGCTACCGGTGGCTATTTGTTTTTAACAACGTTGAAATTAAGAAAAAAAACCTTAACAGCAGAGCTACTACTTAACAATCTGTTGTTTTTGTTTTTTTTTCACAAAAGAACAATATATTTATTAAGATAATATACTCATTTCAACAGTTGCCATCAGGTGAGCTTACCAAAGTTCTGAAATAAATACGTGAATAGAATAGAAGTCATTAAGGTTTATTTCAAAGTTACATGGCATATTAAAGTCTAATCATTAACAGGAAAAACACGAAGTTTGCAAGAGTAGAAAAAAAAGCCATTTTAAACTAAAATTAAAAAGAAAAAAGGGAAACGTTAAATCTTTTCACAACTTTCACTCTTAATCATCTGAATCCTCTTTTTCTTAGAAAGTTTTTCAATCTAAGTAAAAAATAAAAAAATACAATTGTCTTATACATGTAAACACGTGTTCAAGAAAAGAAAAAACTGACAAGAAATAACACCACGCATGAACTTTATTTATCACCACCACCAAACCAAATCAACCGACTAATTGCCTGCCAAAACAATACAAAGTTGTGTGAAGTACATAATTAGAAAGTCTTGTGGATGGTAGAAGAGAGGGGCTTATTTATATGGTGTATTAACCCTGTTAGCCAAAGTTCCTGGGATTAAGCCCTAGTCCCGATTATGGATGGTAGAAGAAAGGGGCTTATTTATATGGTGTATTAACCCCGTTAGCCAAAGTTCCTGAGATTAAGCCCTAGTCCCGGTTATGCATGGTAGAAGAGAGGGGTTTATTTATATGGTGTATTAACCCCGTTAGCCAAAGTTCCTGGGATTAAGCCCTAGTCCCGGTTATGCATGGTAGAAGAGAGGGGCTTATTTATATGGTGTATTAACCCCGTTAGTTCCGGAGTTTCTTTTTACTTATCGGCTTTATTATCTTTGTTAGAACGTTTTATTTTACACCTAAAAGACTAAAAGGATTATCCTCACTTATCTTTCTTTATTTTCAAACACATTTTTAGGTACTCTGCTACTTAGACGATATATGAGTGGGCTATGAATGTGATTAACTTTTACAACATAAACATTTTAAAAATTAGAAAAGATTGACTTAGAGTCAAATTACTAAGATGACAGTAGACAAGAACTATTATTTAAACACAATTTTCAGGAAATCCACTGGCCAAAATAAATAAGAAATTCTATAAAATTTAAAGTAGCACTAAGTACAAACCTTTAAAGGAGTAATTCCTTCTGTGTTCATTGAAATTGCAGCAGCTATAAGAACGATACCTGTAAATTCTTTAGGCCTCATCAGTCCAGATTTGATGCATATCGTTCCACCCTATGAAAACACGAAGTGTTTTCTATGAATGAATTCTAACAGTAGTTATTTCATAAAGCATAAATCATCAAACATATTCTTATAGGTGATATTCCACAAGACACACAATGTCCCACAGATTCGTAAAATAGAGGTTCAAAACATGAAGAATCACACAGGTTACAACAGAAGTTATTTTGCAAGACAGGGGACGTCACACATATTCTATAAATAACGATCTTACAAGACACGGAACGTCACACATATTCTATAAATAACGATCTTACAAGACACGGAATGTCACACATATTCTATTCCGTGTCTTGTAAGATCGTTATTTACAGAATATGTGTGACATTCCGTGTCTTGTAAGATCACTATTTATAGAATATGTGTGACATTCCGTGTCTTGTAAGATCACCATTTATGCCACACATATTCTATAAATAACGATCTTACAAGACATGGAATGTCACACATATTCTATAAATAACGATCTTACAAGACACGGAATGTCACACATATTCTGTAAATGGTGATCTTACAAGACACGGAACGTCACACATATTCCATGAATAACGATCTTACAAGACACGGAACGTCACAGATATTCTGTAAATGGTGATCTTACAAGACACGGAACGTCACACATATTCCATAAATAACGATCTTACAAGACACGGAACGTCACAGATATTCTATAAATAACGATCTTACAAGACACGGAATGTCACACATATTCTGTAAATGGTGATCTTACAAGACACGGAATGTCACACATATTCTATAAATAACGATCTTACAAGACACGGAATGTCACACATATTCTATAAATAGTGATCTTACAAGACACAGAATGTCACACATATTCTATAAATAACGATCTTACAAGACACGGAATGTCACACATATTCTGTAAATAATGATCTTACAAGACACGGAATGTCACACATATTCTGTAAATAACGATCTTACAAGACACGGAATGTCACACATATTCTATAAATAACGATCTTACAAGACACGGAACGTCACACATATTCTATAAATAACGATCTTACAAGACACGGAATGTCACACATATTCTGTAAATGGTGATCTTACAAGACACGGAATGTCCCACATATTCTATAAATAGTGATCTTACAAGACACGGAACGTCACACATATTCTGTAAATAACGATCTTACAAGACATGGAATGTCACACATATTCTGTAAATGGTGATCTTACAAGACACGGAATGTCACACATATTCTGTAAATAACGATCTTACAAGACATGGAATGTCACACCAGAATATTTAAATGGTGATCTTACAAGACACGGAATGTCACACATATTCTATAAATAGTGATCTTACAAGACACGGAATGTCACACATATTCTGTAAATAACGATCTTACAAGACACGGAATGTCACACATATTCTATAAATAACGATCTTACAAGACACGGAATGTCACACATATTCTATAAATAACGATCTTAC